ATACGATATGTGGTCCTGTCTTGTAGAATATCTTCTATCTTCTCGGTATATTGTTTTTTGTCCATTATCAATGTAGCTCTTCCTTAGTCCGCCTTAAGGACTAATTGTCCTAAAGTTTATTGGGTTTAGCGCATGCCGACAAATCTATTCTTGTTTGTAGGCTCCTGAAGGGTCAAGATCTTTGGAATTAGTTCCATCTCAATTTCCCGTTTTGTCTCCTCAGGGAACTTGTCGGTAATATTGCTAACCTCGACCAGAATGTCTCCTAGAAGCCTTCTGTAATGTTGAATTGAAAAATTGAGTCCTTTTTTCAAGAACACAGTTGTTACGGGATTGAGAGGAATTGATGATAAGTTTAATACTTTCTTCCTATCCCCGTGCTGATCAGTAAATGTTGTCACTTCGGAAACCACTTCAACTGGGCGTACTGACTTTAACTTAGGCTGTTTAATAATCCCAAACCTACGCAACTTATCATCCTGCCGTTTTGTTATTAAGTCAGAAATCCGACGTGATTTCCTGTCTGTCATGCTCTGGAGTTTTTGAAAATCTTCCGGAGACAGGATCTTGGCCAAATCACGCCAGAGCTTTGACCTAATATCTGTAAATGTTAACAGCTTATAACGTTTAGTATCATAGGTCTTACTTAAATTCTGAATAGAAAGAAATACTCATTAACCTTTTCCGAGTGGTTGGGTCTCTTAAGGTCACAGAACTGTCAGATTGATGAAAAAATTCCAATTACCATGAAAGTAGTGGATGGCGAAACAGGGAGAAAAATTAGCACACTAATCAACGAACATCAGGGGCTCTGCAGGAAAATGGATACCGAAAGATCAGAACTAGTGAAACGCATCGCACAGACTAGACACGAGATCAATTGGAAGGCAACAGAAAGGAAAGCCCCATACGGTGACAACACAAGGAAGCGGAAGCTAAGAGAGGCAATTGACATCCTTAGGGAGACAAATCTAATGAACAGGAGATTCGAGGAAGGTAGAGTTAGCGATAACTTTGCCTACTGCATAAGCAAACTCGGGAAAAAAAAACAAAAATAGAGCAAGACCAGCTAAAGGAGACGCCTGTATCAAGGATCTGCTGCTAACCGGAGGAAAAGGGATTGCGATGACGAAAGTCGGGGGCTGGAGTATTCGGCAATTAAGCAAAGACGTTTTGAGTGAGTGATGGCCATTTGAATAAACCAGAACAACTTTGGGGCCTGACAGTCAGGGAGCTGGGCAGACGGATAAGCACACCGTCATATAAATTAGGGGTTCTGGCCAAAAAGCACTAGAAATCCACTTAAGATGCCGCATGCGACCAGGGATAGGCGTCCACAGTTTGCTCAGGTGACATGGGTTTAATCAAGATGATGACCCGTGAAGGGAAGGCCTGATATCTCCAAGCTCAAGCTTCTAGGGCCTTAAGAAATGGCAAGGCTCGCTGATGATGCTGACTACGATGCCGGAGAAACGTCTGAGAATGTATCAAGTCCACTGTCAGATGCTGGGAATCATGACAACTACTATGGCAGCCGACTTCGGACTATTTGCGTTCTACATGGTCTCCC